GTGGGTGTGGGGTGTGGGTGGGTGTGGGTGTGGGTGTGGGTGTGGGTGTGGGTGTGGGCGTGGGTGTGGGTGTGGGTGTGGGTGTGGGCGTGGGTGTGGGTGTGGGTGTGGGAGTGAGGTGTGCGTGTGGGTGTGGGTGTGGGTGTGGGGTGGGTGGGCGTGGGCGTGGGCGTGGGAGTGTGCATAAATGTTCTTCACAATTAGCCCCACACCTACACCCCACACTCACACTCACCCACACGCACACTCACACTCACACTCACACTCACACCCACACCCGCACCATACCCACACCCGAACCCGAGCTCAGTTTTAATTAATTAATAAACTAATTATTAATTAATTGTTTATTAATTATTAATATTTTTAACAAACTTCGCCAAGGTTAATTTTGGGTGAGGAATTCAAATCTGAGGACAATTTTAATTAATTAATAATTGATTGATTATTAATTGATTATTATTTGTTAATTTTGTTTTTCAAAAATTTGGCCGAGGGTGATGGAGGGTGCAGAGCACGGATCAGAAGTCGGTTTTAATTATTAACGTATTATAACTAAATTATTAGTTCTTTATGTTTTTGATAAAACTTGACCAGAAGTGATCGAGTGTGGAGAAGCCAAACCTGAGGTCTGCTTTAAGTATTAATCATAAATATTTTTTACGACACTCGAAAGGAAAAATTGAGGGTCAGAACTTGAATCCAAAGTATCTTTTGATTTTTTACTAAGTACTACTATTATTCGTGTTTCTTCTAGAAAACTTCCTCGAAGATTTTTTTAAATAAAAAATGAGAATGTAGATAAGTTTGGGTTAATAAGCTAGCAACGATAAGGAGTAGTAAAACATACTAATGTCACCATAGTTTAGAGCAAAACTTCGCTTAAAGAAATTTAAAAACAAGAATTTCAATCTGCAGCTAGCTACTGTTACTTATGTTGATAAGTGAATAATTTGAGGAGCGTCCAGAAATAGTACTTCTACAAGAAAGAGCTTAGCGAGTCCATTGACGAGCGCTACTTGTTTTTTATTGCTTCATGGCTGTAACAAATCAAAATGAAATTGTACAATAAATCAACACAAAAGTTTGGAATTTCCTTTGGTTTTAAAGAAAACAGGGCAGGGCAGGGCAAGTTAAAGGTTATGAATGGTGTGTGTGGGTGTAGGTCTGAGTGTGGATGTGGGTGTGGGGCTGGTAAAAGAGAAATAACACCCACATCCACAGCCACCCACATCCACACCCACACCCACACCCCCAAACACCCACACACCCCCACACACCCACACCCCCACACCTATAATCGATTAAGAAAATTAAATTAATAATTTTATTTGTATGAAAATTAAAAAAAAAGGACAAGATTGATGATAATCTTACCAGGTATACAAACAACTGTTTGAGAGATCATCTTTCATTTAACACATGTTTTTAAATCTTGATCAATTGTATACATTAGTTTATCATTCATATTTTCGATAATCCACCTATTTGATTTTTTTTGTTGACCAGATAATGTTATTGATACATCTTTCATTCCAATCATACCACGATTTGCATCATATCTTAGATTATAATTTGACTATTTTATTAATATAATTATTCTTTTTAGATAAAATAATTTACTTAATAAATGACTTACATTTGAACGGTATGTTTGGCCATCACGTAAAGCAAGACTAACAGATGCACTTACTTTTGAAGTATATTTTTTCGATATACAACAACGTTCTGGTCCATTTTTAAGTAATCCTGTTGGTTTACCATCCAAACTAGCTATAATAATAACAAGAATGATAAAAACAATGTTGTAGAACATCATTGTTTCTTTTGTGAGTAATTTTGAAAATGAAAGTTAGTGAAAAAAATGATTTGATTTATATCAGAATAAAACAAATAATAGTAGATATTTGCTTTTTTTTTGTTATCGTGATTATACAATAATGTTATTTTTAATACATAAAGTGTTCACATTTCACATGTTTCCACTGTTTATATAACGTCATTTAAGAGAAACTATAATAAGAGTAAGTAAAAATCAATATGAGTCAAGACAAGAACATTAGTTGATAAAATAAATTTTTGGTCTTAACTTTGTTTTATACATAACAAATGAATGACAAGGAATATGAGTGAAACAACAATAGGAAGATTTTGATTTACCTTAAGATTATATCAAGGTTTCTATCTGATTATTGATTTAAAGATTTATTTAACAAATTTTCAAAATTGATCTAATGAAGAATGAATTTTGAAGTATATTATGAAAAAGTTTCACATATGTCTTTGGTGATATCTCTCATGCAATCAATAGAATATCAGAAATCATTAAAGAATTTATTTTCATGTTTTTTTAACTGTTAGTGTCTTTTCAGTGTCTGAAAAATATTATTTATATAAATAATGTCATTCAAAATTTTAGAGTGAATTAATCAATGAAATATATCATAAAATCGAACATCTAAGGCTTTGCGAAACAATTTTTTTCATATACTTTCCAAGATTTGCTGAAAGAATTACCCATTTTCTACTAAAATCTTGATATTTATAGATAAATCTTTGACTAAAATTAAACTTTATCATTGATAATATAAGCATACATAAATCATTTGAAGAATTTTGTTAAGCTATTTTTGTTAATGATGTTTAACTAAAATAAAAGAAAATGACAACGGAACAGAATCAACAACAAAAAAAAACGTGATAAATGTTTTCATATTTCGTCCTATGAAAGAAAACAAAACAGTGTCTATATTTTTAAAAATAGACTATGCAAGCGATTCAATCCGATCTATGGATCCTACCGAAAAACATAGGATCTGATCAGATCTTCCGTTTGAAAAAAATTCGTCTAGATCGAAAAATCAGACATAAGATCTTGTAACACCAGATAAAATTGTACGAAAAAACGTAGTCTCAAAAATTTTACATTAATTCATACCATAAGATTCTTGAACAATCTGACTATCACACAAGATTTCCTATAATCTTATAATCATATCTTACAAAACAGTCAGATCTTTCAAGAATCTTATAGTAACTAATGTAAAATTTTTGAGACTAGGATTTTTTTTTGTCTGATCTTACAAGATCATACAAGGTCAGATATAATCTTGTCAGATGTTAGGATCTGATTGTTTGACCTTGGCGGAAAATGCAAGACTCTACAGTAGATCCGGTTGAATTTCATCGAAATCCGACATTCAGATTCTGAAACAGATTAACTTGGAAATAGTTCAGCTCGATTCCTTAAAATCTACTTATCGAATTACGTCAGATTCACTCGATGCATACCGAGTCACAATACTACTTTCAGATTAAGTGAATTCTTGTGTCTAATCTGCGAAAAACCAAACATTTGAAAAATCACATAAGCCAGTGTTTATTTTTTATGACTATATTCACTTTTAGAATAGGGGTCTGTAATCGTTTGCTGACCTTCCCCCTACTCCATTACGTAACCACTAACAGATAAATATTCAATTCGACCAAAGTTTGATGAACCTAAGTAAAATAAAGAAGTAAACATATGTATCATCAATTTCATAAGAGATATAAGATTAGACTGACGTCATTGATGCATTATCATCAGAAAACTATCACTTGTCGCATTGCTTAACCTTTAAAGAATTCTTTCTCCGTGGCGTAATTTATTTTAAATAAATTCTAACTACTCATTTTAGACGTGTCTCAGACTATACTCGAATAATTCGAAACCTTATTGAACACTTGGAGCAAGCGTCGGAAATCGTCGTATTTGACAGTTTCGACCACCAGAAGCATAATTAAATAAAAATAAATAATTAGTTAATACAATAGCTTTCTGATGAAAGTTCTTACCAGTTCGGTGTAATCAAATGCGCAAATACTTGTCTAAAGTTTATCTACGAATATACAAAGACACTGACTGTTGAAACTGAATTTAAATAACAGTGCTATTTCAATTGTGCCCGTTATATATATGTCACAGTTGACATGAGAATTTCAGTTGAGATTGGAATGTACGAAATCACTAAAAACAGAAAAGAACAAAAAGTACTTTAAAAAAAAAGGTTTCTTTTATTTTGAAAGTTTTGATAAAAAGTACAAAACCTTTTATTTAAATAATCGTTTTTAAATAAAGTCATATTAAATACATTTAATAAAATATGTTAATATATAACTCTTTTACGTTTTACTAATAGAATATAAAGTTAGAGAAGTTTTGCTTGATATTTTTTTTCTAATATTGTTTTTTTGCTCGTATGAGTCACATTATAATTAATCTTTGTTGTCTTACTCATGTTATGGTATTATAAGGATATTGAATAATTGGTTCTTCTTCAATAATTGAACCTACATGTAAAAAGTCTTGATACAAATTTGTTTAACACGTTTCTGGCATTGGAGTATGCTTTCTTTGCTTTTCTCCTAGTCAACTTGTAGATCATTGCCGAAGCTTTCAGATAATATGTTATCTCATCGTTTTATTTTGTAGATATGACACGTTTATAGCGAGAATATCTGTAAAAGCAGGTTGTACAACACTACGCAACTGTAGTAAACAAACAGAAAAAGATAACTGTAAATCATTTTTTTACAAGAGAACATTCCTTGTCAAACTATATACAATATTATCAGGAAGTACGAACCCTAGAGAAAGTACTGAGTTCAGGGTACCCATGTACTGAGAAAGCTCTAGCAGGGTACCCAATATGGGTACTTTGAAAATTCTCAGTAATTTTACTGATGTGTGTACTGTTTGGGGTACCCGTAAAAGTACATTCACTGGATAAGTACCTGCATGGATACACAAGTCTGTAACTTTACTGAGGAAATCTCGACAGGGTATCCTAAATTTTTCGCATTCTGTGTGGCGACTATTCATTCACCGTTTTCTTTTTTACGTACGGCTTTATATAAACAACTCGATAAATCATAAGAAAATAATCAATTTTCATACTAGTTTTTTCTAAATTATTTCTTGACTATTTCTTAGTCGAGGAAATGCCGAGCTTGGTCGTAAATTAAGGTCGGACTACCCTGAAGTGGTCTACGACCAACTCAAGTTGAGTCGGATCCCGACATTGTTCCTGCTAAGTTTTTGGAATTGAAAAAATTAAATTGAATAAAGTTAAAAAAAATCTAGTAAATTATCTCAAGAAAAAGAAAAATTTTTAAAAGTCAAAGATCAGGTTCGATCCTGAACATACTGAAAATTTGGTAACAGGGTACTTAGAAATACTATACAAAGGTACCCAATTCAGTACTTGATCAGTACCTTTAGGTACCCAATTACTGTGCATTTTCCAGCAGGGTACTTGCCAAAGTACCACTTAGGTACCTGTAAGTACCCGCAAGTACTTTGGTACCCAAAAGTTCCTGTGACATACTGGTATCAGGGTACTTTTTTGGGTACCCTTAACTCAGTATATTCTCTAGGGAAGATTGTAGTCATGTTAGAGACAAACTTAGATCTGATCGTCCGAAGAAATTATCAAGTGGACAATTAACACGACTGAAATGACTAGTGAATCACAGACTGGTATTTCTTTACATCGAATAGCTTCAAAATTTAAAGTCAGTTTTAAAACAATTAGCAACAAATTGAAAACTATGGGTATATGCTATTACAAAAAAAACAACGAGCACCAAAATATACTGAAAAACAACCTCAAGAAATTCTGATTCGTGCTCATCGTTTATATCGATTATTTTCAAAAGGTGATTATGAACTGTTAATGGATGATGAAAAATATTTTTTATTACACAATGAATCTGCACTTGCCAATCGGGGTTTCTATTCATCGGATACAAATACTACAACTCCATATGTTAAATTTAAATGAACCAAGAAGTTTGAACAAAAATAACTAGTTTGGATTGCGGTATGTGAAAATGGCATTTCGAAACAATAATTGAATACAATCCTCAATACTGTCCACAATGACGTTCAATAGAAACGTTGTGGTCAATTATCGACGACATGGTATATAACAAGGGCTGAGAAGCAAGAACTATCGATTAACTGAAGAAAAGAGATGCAGCAAAATTGAAAGAAATCGATCTGAAACTTGTACAAACTATGTTTTCAGGTATACGTAAACAAATTCGAAAGATTGCTGATAAAGAACCTGACGAAGCTTGTTGTTTTTGCTTGTTGAAACTTTATCACTTGTACTTTTGTTTGTTATAACAAAAAAGAAATAAAAACAATGTGTTGAAATAAAAGACTAAAAATTTTTTCTGTTCCAAGATTCTTTACACATATGTTAAGTTATAGCATTTAGTTTATCCACATTGATGGACGAAGGTTGGTTTTTTTCTGGAACTACATAGATGATTTGATGTCTCTTG